CCTGCTGAAAGCATCTGGTTTACAGCAGCTTTATTTCTGTTAACTTTATCCCTCATCTCTTTAAGTTGTGCCTTCTTCAGCTGTGCTTGTAAGGATGCGAGTTCCCGTTCATCCTTTTCTCTGTCCTCTTTGTCATTATCAATATACTGAATAATATGTGCTGCCTATTGGTCGAAGGGCAGAGTCTGTAGGCCGATCACCTGTTTGAGCCACTGCTGAATTCTGACAGATAGAGAAAATCAATGTGTGCTACTGCGTCTGCATTCCCGATTGACTCTCAATATCTGCCTGTCTTAGGGGCTTGGACCTTGTTCGTGTTATGTGTTATCTGTTCCATGGCTGCTGGAACAAGTGACTTTCCGCACTGTGGGATCAATAAAGTCCCTATCCTATCATATATATGATGATGTAAGACAGGCAGATATTGAGAGTCAATCGGGAATGCAGACGCAGTAGCACACATTGATTTTCTCTATCTGTCTGAATATAGTGAATATATATAATATAAATCATCAATGAAAATGCATAAGAACAACAAAACAAGTGTGTGTAAGGTGTAAGCTGCGGTGCGTAAAGAGAGAATTTTTAGAACTTACCTTCTGCTGTTGCGCTCGACGATAACTGGCTCTAAAATGGCCGCACACAGACAAGTGAGACCTCTTTGGATTCCTCTCAACCTATAGGATGAGGCTATTGAATTGGTGATGTTGGTATTTTCCAAACACACGCCATGGAATCTGTGCAATGTGGGCCTTGTTTTGAGCCGCGGCTAGCGGTGTTTTGATGGATTATAGTTGGTAAAATATTACAAAATATGAATCATATGTCTGGCATAACGCCCCCTAGTGGACCTGAGATGTTGCTTTATTGTGCTTTATTGCTTTTGCTGTGTTTATTGTGGGGAAAAATGGTTTATATGACATTGTAGCCGAGGTTTCGCCGAACATTTTGAGGTATACATTGTTGGGGGTTAGCTACCACAACGCACGTGTCATTCCCATATTTTCAGTTAAGCCTATCAGCCCCCTGTACAGGGGGCCTTCGGGTTGATTCGCTTACACAGTGAACACTGTTAACAGTGAAAGGCACTATGAATCAATCTCTTCCTCTTCTTTTTTCATTTTTGCTGCATGTCCCCTCTCTCAGGAAGGGCTATAGGACGGATGCAACTGTGTCTGTCTTTCTTGGATTCTTGCTCTTTCTCATCCCTGCCAGGCGACCCTTCTCCTCTTCTCACTGTAGAGACACAGGTGAGGACCATGCACTCCTACATCTGGTAGTTTCTGATACTGATTTACAGTTATTTACTGTTGTTAATAAGAATCATAGATCATTGCCCTAGGTGTTATCATCCCTGCTGTACTGATATTTTGTCTGTGGTTTTGAATCATCAGATGATAATCCGCTGGCTCCCATGATCACCTGGAAGGACTTCCAGAGACTGATGCCATGGGAGATAGTCATCCTGGTGGGAGGAGGTTATGCACTGGCTGCTGGTTGCAAGGTAGCATGCATGTGTTTGTGTGTGTTGTTGTATTACAGTACTATACCATCTTAGGGGCAGGTTGTGGATTATGAACCATTTCAATCTTTAATATTAGTCATGGGTTATCTCATATGAAGGTCAAAGGAGTTTATAAAAATGTAATGTCAAAATAATATAGCAGGCCCTACAGCGAGTAGTCAGAACTGCTGAGAAAGTCATCAGGACCCAGCTACCAGACTTCTCTTCTACACCTCCCACTGTCTGTGTTGCATTCACAACATCACTAAGGATCAATCACATCCAGCTCCTCACCTGTTTCAGCTTCTGTTCTTGAGTAGGAGATACAGGTCCATCCATGTTAGAACAACCAGACTGGCAAACAGTTTTTCATCCCAAGCAGTATTATACTGCTAAATGAAAATCCTAAAACAGTGAATTAATAGCCCTTTATATGACATGATACCTGCGTTATCGAAGTTGTATTGAATAGTCTTCCACCATACTCTATACCATGTTTATATTCTGTGACTAAAATAAGAATATCTCTTATTAATAAGGTATTGCGTTATTCTTTTACTGTTTTTATATTTATTATTTCTTAGCATTTAAACAACCTGACACTTTTTATCTACTATATTTTTAACTTTGCGCCATGAGACTGTGTGTGGCCCATATATTAAATTCAATTCAATTAAATTTTATTTGTATAGCGCCAAATCACAACAAAAGTCATTTCAGGTAAGGTCTTTTGTCTCAAGTAAGTTCTAGACCTTACTATTATTATTATAATTAAGATAGAACCAACAAATCCCCCTTGAGCAAGCACTTGGCGACAGCGGGGAGGAAAAACTCCTTTTAACAGAAGAAACTTCTGACTGACACCGCCACTTTGTGGGCGGCCTTCTGCCTTGACTGGTTGGGATGAGTTTATAGAGGAGAGAGAATATAAGAAAAGAAAAGCAACAAGACACAACAACAAACAATCAAACACTGGGCAGGTTGATCTGGCTGGTGACTGCTCATCAGAAATGTACAGCTCCAGAGCCAGGGCTGCCAACAGAAAGGTACAGGGAGAGAGAGAGGAAGCACTACAGGAGAGAGGAGACACAAAGTTAGTGATGTGTAATGGTGACTTATGCATGCATGGAGAGTTAGGAGAGGACAGGAGCTCAAAGCATCAACGGGGGCCGCCGCAGCATAACTAAGGGAAGGCTCAGGGTCACCTGATCCAGCCCTAATTATAAACTTTATCAAAAAGGAACGTCTTAGGTCTAATCTTAAAGGTAGAGAGGGTGTCTGCCTCCCAAACAGAGACTGAGAGCTGGTTCCACAGGAGAGGAGCTTGATAGCTAAAGGCTCTGCCTCCCATTCTACTTCTGTAGACTCCAGAAACCACAAGTAAACCTGCACTGTGAGAGCGAAGTGCTCTGTTGGGATAATATGGCACTATGAGGTATTTAAGATGTGATGGAGCCTTGCTATTAAGGACTTTAAATGTTCAGAGTAGGATATTAAATTGTTCTGCATTTTAGAGGGAGCCAGTGGAGAGAAGCTAATATGGGAGAGATATGATCTCTCTTGCTAGTTCCTGTCAGTACTCTGGCTGCAGCATTTTGGATTAACTGGAGGCTTTTTAGGGAATTATTGGGACATCCTGATAGTAAAGCGTTACAGTAGTCTAGCCTGGAAGTAACAAATACATGGACCAATTTTTCAGGATCAGTTTGATAGAGGATGTTCCTGACTATCATCTGCACAGCAATGGAAATGTATGCTGTGTTTCCTGATAATATTGTCTAAGGGGAGCATCTATAAAGACAAGAGAATTAGACCTAGCAGACTACACCTGTGCTTGCAATGACAATAACAGTGCTACTATACAACTGAAATGTATGTAATGGAATTTAATAGTGCTGTTGCCTCACAGCAAGAAGGCGTCTTTCTGTGCAGAGTTTGCATGTTCTCCTTGTGCCTGCCTGGGTTCTCACCGTTCTCCTTGTGCCTGCGTGGGTTCTCACTGGGTTCTCCGGCTTCCTATCACAGTCCAAAAACATGCATCTTAGGCTGATTAGCAACTCAAAATTGCCCATAGGAGTGAGTGTGAGTGTGTGTGGTTGTCTGTCTCTTAGTGTCAGCCCTGTGATAGACTGGCGACCTGGCCAGGGTGTACCCCACCTCTCACCCAGTGACAGCTGGGATTGGCAAGGATTCTCCAATCTTGTGTACAGTTTGTCATGCTCCAATTGTTTATTAGACAAAAAACTGTGTAATATTACCTCTGTGAACATAATTAACTTCACAGGAATGGTCATTTGCTGGCTACCAGAAGCTGTAATCTGTTACCTGATTTAAATGAAGGACTTAAGGTCAAAGCAGCAGAGGTTCAGGTAGATATGATTGCAGATTAAGAGACTGACTGGACCCTTTGAGAATGCTTAACATGTGATTTGTGTGTGTAGGTGTCAGGCCTGTCGGTGTGGATTGGCAGACAGCTGGAGCCCATGAACGGGCTTCCACCCTGGGCCGTCACCCTACTGGCCTGCCTGCTGATGTCAGCAGTCACAGAGTTTGCCTCCAACCCGGCAACTCTCACCGTCTTCCTGCCCATCTTGTCTGCACTGGTAGAACACATAATCTTTTCATACACTTGGCCTCAGAACAAGGAGTGGCCCTTAATAATGAAAAATATATCATAGAGGTTCAGAGGGACTAGGGAACATGAAATGAGGCACAAAAAGGTCTGTATGGCCCTGTAGCTTATGGCAGTCTCCTTTTCACTGCCTAAGTTTGGGAGACTCCAGTGATGAGGAAAAACCACTAACAAATTGATGGTAAATTGATGCCTACATAGTATGTAGCATGAATGTTAGCAAAAGAGGTTTGATATAACCAAATTTAAGATACTTTTTTCATTTAAAAACATCGAAACCTCTGGTGTGTGCCACATCCATATTAATTTGAGTTTAGTCACCTTTAGCAGTTTGTTACATAACTACATGTTGTTCATGTTGTTACAAGTATGCATGCAGCAGGGTAAAGATCAGTGTAAGTAGGCCCTTGCCTAGGTCAAAGGGTCAAAGTGTTTATTTGTCATATGCACAGTTAAGAAACTTGTTTCCCTGTACAATGAAATTCTTACTTTACCGTCCACATGAATGCCACATGATACAAGTGAGATATAAAGTAGATGAGCAATAACACAAATATAAATAGGCAGTAAAATCACAAATCTAGGGCACTTTAAAGCAGCAAGTGAAGAGAGCAAATAAAAATACAACAAGAGCACAATGTAATGCAGAGAGAATATATGCTATGTGGGAGCCGTGGAGTGTAAATACTCAGCAGTGGGTGTGCAATTATGCATGTGCAAAATGAGTATGTAAACAGTACAGATGGAATTACATGAGGTAGATCTAAGTCAGCTGTTTAGGAGTCTGATGGCAGAGGGAAAGAAAGGATTTTTCAGTCTAGAGGTCCTGCATTTCACACTCCTGAGCCTCCAACCGGAGGGTAGGGGTATAAACAGTCTGTGCTGGGGGTGGCTGGGGTCTTTGAGGATGGAGCCAGCTTCCCTACGCACCCTGCGGTGGGAAATGCTCTGCAGAGAGGGGCGGGGGGGCCTGGTGATCTTCTCAACAGTCTTTACCACTCTCTGCAGGCACTTGCGGTCCATAGCAGTAGTG